AAAAGGTAAAGTTGATTCTCAGTTCAATAGCAAGAAATCCGTACCAATCACAGTGAGATCTAGCAAGAAAATTCAAGAATTTGCGTTCTTATTTCAAAAAGTACTTAAAAATGCTGAAATTAAAGCATTTCATATGAAAAAAACACCTAAGAGAAGCTTAAATGGTGAAATTAAAGGAATTTGATGCGCAAAGAAGTTGAATAAAAGTATGTGTATAATTGAAGACGATAAAGCACATTGCAAGGCGGATTTTTCATAACTTCTTGGTCAATAATTTTACTATGAGAACAAAGATAAACCTGTCGACGATCAATTTAAATATATTCAACAAGAAAAATTTGCATCCAAGTTCCTTTTGTCGCAAGGGATTTGAAGATGTGGTATGCAGTCCTCTTGTTTTATCACTAAGAAAACCTTGACTACCGACCTCTACATCAAAGGATGCCTCTAAAAAAGACTTTTTTTATTTATAGAAAAACACAAATACTGATGTCTCTTTTAGCCAGGTCTTGCTGCTTCACACTATTCTAAAAAAGTTTTACAGTTGTGCAAAGATAATAATGTGAAAACTGTTCCTAAAGATGTGAATCCTCCAAATTGTCCTGAAGAGCACAAGATTGAATATTTTTGGGCAATAGTTAAAGGAGTGCTTTGTAAGGCAGGTGGAGTAACAAAAAATAAAAAGGAATACCAAAAAAAGTGGATTAATGCCACCAATAAGGTTAAAAAGGAAAAAATTCTCAAAATGAAAGCATCAACCCGCTATAAAATTCGATCTCTTGCCAAACAGCCCATCAAGCCTCTTAAAATTAAGTTGAAATCCTATTTGATGTAAACACATATAATTTTAAAAAAATGGAAATAAAAAGTATTTATGGTTTTAGAGAAATCTCATCTTAAAGTTGACCGGATTTTTCCGTGCCCACCTGATACATAAATAAATAAATTGCATATATGATATATAAAATTATTTAGATATACTTGATATTTAAGATATATAAGAGGTTGTAATTATATCTTTATTTGAAAATAGGAAGGAAAAAAAAAATGATTTTCTTCCTATAATTGTTACTAACCATTTTTAAATACCTAAATTCCTCAAACCACACATCCTCTCTTGGTATTCGGTCAACAGCTTTTGCAAGCTCAACAAATGTTATCTTTTTACTTTTGCAAAAATTTCTTGAATTTGTCTTACAATAAATATTACATTCGTTGTTTATAATCCTGGTCTAAAATCAAATTGTTATTGATAAATACACTACTTCTTATTTTGTTAGCAATTTTTATTTCTCAAGAAATTTTAGACCTTATTATGAATCATATTTTAGTGTATTTTAGCCTCAAATATTATTTTACACAAACCTAATTTTTTAATCTCTAGCAAGTAGTCAGTATATATATTTTTTAAAAATGTGTTACGTTTCAAGGTTATTTACAAATAGTATAAACTAATCGACATAATAAACTATAATATACATAATGTTTACAGAAACATTATTCTGGTTGCTGTAACATGTCTCACCAAACATATGCTGTATAGTAAACATATATCATATGATATGTGACATTTATTTTATTTTTATTAGATAATCAATTTAGTATTATTAATCTCCTTTTTATGAAACCCTTTAGCTTCGTAAATAAACCAAGAGAGTTCTACACAATGCATTATAATGTTTACCTGTTATTCATACTTCTTTTTTCCTCATTCAAGAGGGATTTGTTTTTTTTTGTTCTTTTTAAGAGCAATGTATTAAAAATTGTTGTAATTTAAGGCAAAAAACTTCTCTATCATCTATCATTTATCTCTGTACATCATTTTTATAATTCATCTGTCATATATCTCTGTATACCATCTTTATATATTATCTATTATACATCTCATACGCCATCTCTATATATCATTAATATGCATCTGTATATTGTTAATTAATCCGTATATTCAATTCTTTTATGTATAATTAACTTTTTTTAATGTATTTTAATGAAATTTTAAAAATTGAATATATTGAAAAATATTTAATTAAACTTTTTAATTTGAACTATTTAATCTGAAAATTAAATAAACCATATAACACCAACTGAAGATGTTAAAAATACTAAAAATACAAAAAAGAAAAAAAAAACAAAGTTGACTCATCGAATTTTATAATAATGTATGTCTAAAAAGAATTAACTATAGAAAAGCAAAATAATTTATTTTTTATTTTGTAAAAATTTTCATAAAAAATGTTATTAACAAATAGTTTAACAAGGCTTGTCCACAAAAATAAAATACAATATTGCTTTTTAATCTTAGCTGCTAATTAAAATAGTTTAAATATTTCATGCGTTATTAAAGAGCAGTTAAATGCAATATTAAAGAGCAGAAAAAAATAAGTTTAATAAGAAGTATATTTAAAAATTTTAGTTAAATAATAAATTAGTGAAATAATTTGACAGTTTTAGTAACAAAATACTTTAAACTGAAGTTTAAATAAAACTGTATAATACAAATTTTTTCTATATGATAAGAATTTTTGTTATTAGTTTATTTTTTATTATTTTATTTACTTTATTATTTGTTGTTAATACTTATGATATTATTTATTTTTCTAATTATTGCTGTTATAATATGTAAATGTAGGATGAATGTAGAAAAAGTTTATGAGTACTCTGAATGTAAAGAAATGTTATTCCAATCCTATAATGAAAATGAGTTACCTGAAAAGATTCAAAAAGACTTGAATTTGTTAGAAGCTGAACTAGAAAGAGGTCATGTATTCTTAAAACAATCTACCGATCTTAAAGAATTTATAAAACAAGTATGTGTACCATTGTTTGGTTGTTTTTTTATTTGCATATATATATATATATATATATATATATATATATATATATATGTATATATGTATATATATATATATATATATATATATATATATATATATATATATATATATATATATATATATATATATATATATATATATATATATATATATATGTTTGAACAATTTTAAAAATGTATTCTACAAAATATAGTGCTCAATGTTCTTAAAAGAATAGAGCAATTATTAATTAGTAGAAAATCACTTTCATTTTACACTGTGTTTCATCAATAAAGTTTCTGATGAGTCTATTGATGAAACACAGTGTAAAATGAAAAAAAAGATTTGTTAAGTGATTTTCTACTAATATATATATATATATATATATATATATATATATATATATATATATATATATATATATATATATATATATATATATATATATATATATATATATATATATATATATATATATATATATATATACACTATATAAGTGTATGTATATACACACACGTATATATAATATATACTAAGTATAAATATATAACTATTGGTGGAGCAATGACCTAAAACGCACAAATTTATAAAAACAAAACTATTAAAATGCAAAAAACCCTCTGCGCAAATCCATCTTAAAGTATTGTCAAAAGTTTGAACAATTGTTTAAATAACTCATATTGTTTAACTATTATATATTGTATATATTTAAATATAAGCTGTTTTTTTTAGATGCATATGATATCAGAGAATAATTTAATTATAGAAATTGATTGCACGGCCAATATTTCAATGCCAAGAAATTGTATATGTAGAAATTTAATTGAGAAGCCACTAATGGGTTTTTCAAAACTATGTCAGACAAAGCAGATATAAAGAAGATATCATTTTCTTTTAGAATTGGGTAATATTCTTAGATCAAGTGATGTTATTTTCTCATAGAATTCGGTAAAATTCCTAGATCAAGTGTTTTCGGTTAAATTCCTAAATGATGTTATTAAAGAAATATCAATTGAAGTTTGTCAACAACACAAAGTACAAATAAGAAGGCAAGTATTATATATAGCTAGAATAAATTATTTGACTTAATGCCCTAAAATGCTAAGTTTAAAAGTCTGAAAGACAAATTCTTTTATGGACTTCAGAAATTTTCGAATGGGCGCAAAAATCAATTCAGTATTGTGACAGAGCCTATTACAAACCATCTGTGAGATTTGCCACTTAAAAAAAAGAACTTGAAATAAATTATAGTTAATTGTTCATTTGACAAAAATTATTCCAGGTTTAGTGTTTCATCTTTTTTAATTTTATGTTTTGAACTGATTCTTAAGCATTTTATGAACTCAAAGTTTGATTCCTTTTTAACTTTGCCTAATATTAATTACTAGTTCATTAATGAGTTAACAAGTAATTTCCATGTTTTAACAGAAAAATACATGCCTAACAGGCCAGTTATTAAAAGTAAGAAATATGTCAAGAAAGGATTATATGGATTTGTTATGTAATGGATACAAGTCTTATTGAAACACAATGAATTTTACTTGTAATTCATTTTTCTAAACCAGGAACTATTTTAAATGCATGGTGGAATTCAAGGCTATTTATTGCTTGAAATATATGCTTTCGACCTAGACAAAAATAACATTAGTAATAGAGGCCTACAATTTTACTGTCAATCACTGGGCCAAGCAATTTCTTGCAAAAGAAATTTTGACAATATAAAAAAGTTAAAATAGACATTAACTGGTAATTGCTTTGAATGGAAAGACATTAATTGCTTTGAGTGTTTGGAAAGACACTTTGATATTTTCCATTAAACATTAACTATGCAATCAAGGTGTGTGAAAGGTTGCTTGGAAAGTTAAAACATTCCTTCAAAGAAAAATCTTAAAAATTCTTAGACACTGTAATAAACTTTGATCTGCCTATGTGTGTTTTTGTAATAAAATAATTTGGTGTTTGGTCTATATTTACTTCAATTATACAATTTTATAACTGAAAATTAAGAATTCTTCAAGCAATATCTTTACTCAAAATTTTTTTATCAAAAAAATTTGATACAAAGGTCTTACTATAAGATATAGAAACAAGGTTAGCAATTTTTGCCGACCTAAAACACTTTAAAGGGATCCCCAACTGCTGAAACAAGTTGTGTTCATATTAAAGAAAAAAACATTTGGGCTAAATTTTATTGATTAAAACTATAAATGAATGCACACCATTAAATTTAAAATTCCCCGTCTCCTTTTTTTTTTTTTTGGTTCTCAAAGTCTGTATAATGTTAGTCGCAATCTACAGACTTGATAATTTATTCCATATGTGTTTAATTTATAACAGTTTTGGTATATGACGTCATCATATAAATTTTTTCTTTCAAAATGTAGTGTTATTATTTTGTCACAATCTCCAAATCATTGTATAACTTTTTACTAAATCCCAAAAGTTTATAATGTAATTAAAAATTATATTTATAAAAATAAAAATTTAATATATAACGAATATTTACAGTAAAACGTAAAAAACTAAATATAAAACTAATTATAAATTAGATACTAAAAGGATAATTTTACTAAAGCTTATAAATTAATTTAAAGTATAAACTAAATAAAAAACGAGTGGCTTGAATAAAAAATAAACTGAACTAAGTAGAAAATAAATATTAAACGAGTTATTTAACAAATAACCGTTCAAATCAAACTAAATTAAAGTTAAAACAAATATTTGTACTAAAATATACAAGAAATAGTTACAATATAAATATAAAAATGAAGAATCTTATTAACTTGTTTGCTACCAGCCGAACAAAAATCTTTTTGTAGCAACCGCACATTTTTTTGAATAACATTTGAATAAGCGTAACATTGACAATTAACTAAAATTCCATAATAATAAAGTTTTTAACATGCATCATTAAACAATAAGAAATGCAAAGTGCTTAAAACAATTGTTTTTATAAGTAGTAACTAAAACATTCAAAACAAGTTTAATAAACGTTTAATAAATAAAAAGAATATTTTTTCTACAAAATACTTTGATAATTACCTAACTTAATACTTAACACTTCTACAAGTTAAGTTTTACAATGTTAACACTGTTTTATTTTATAACTAAATTTAAAGAAGTTTTTTTTTATGAAGGATTATTCAAGATTTTTTTAACTCTGTGATGATTTTTTATTATTACATAATATATATATAATTTATTATTACATAATATTACATAATATACATAATATAACTTTTTTATTATTACATAATATAGCTCTTATTTTTTCTTGATTGTGTAGATAATTAATTGAACTTTTAGAACAAACAAATTCTATGTGTCTAGAATGGAAATTTATGTACAAAACAAGATAAATTGTAAAGCATACTCAAAAGCCGCTACCAGATTTTGGCTGGCTCCTAAAATGTAATAATAAAGCCAATAAAAAAAAAGTTATAAATATATATATATATATATATATATATATATATATATATATATATATATATATATATATATATATATATATATATATATATATATATATATATATATATATATATATATATATATATATATATATATATATATATATATATATATATAATTTTTTACTAAATCACAAATATTTTTTTGTGATTTAGTAAAAAATTATACAAATATTTGATTTTCTGATTGTAATAGAAAAAATACTTAAGTCTTTAAAAAAACAAAAACAAAAAAATGCTATCTTAAAAAGATATTGCGATGAGGTATATATAAATATACCGAAACTGTTATGAATTAACACGCATGGAATAAATTATCAAGTCTGCAGTTTGCGGCTAACATTATACAGACCCCAAGAACTAAAAAAAAATGGAGAAGGCGAGCTTTAACTAAAATGATCATTTTAATTTTGTTGGTATGCATTCATTATTTAGTTTCTATTCAAAAATTTTTTAGCCCAAATGTTTTTTTTAAACATTTTCTTTAATATGAACACAACTTGTCTCAGCAGTTAGGGATCTCTTTAAGGTCTGCAGTTAGGTTGAATGCCAACCCTAATTCTGAGGAATATATATATATATATATATATATATATATATATATATATATATATATATATATATATATATATTTATATATATATATATATATATATATATATATATATATATATATATATATATATATATATATATATATATATATATATATATATATATATATATATATATATAGATAGATAGATAGATAGATAGATAGATAGATAGATAAATGGTTTTTCTCATTGTTGCATGATAAAAAAGGTATTATTGTAAAATATTATTTTAACCATAAATTTATTTGCATAATCGGAAATGAAATTAGTGTGAAAATGGAGCTAACATGTTCAAATTGTTATTGGTTAAATTTTATACTTTATAAATCATATATAAATTTTAAGCAAATAACAAAAGAACTTTTGCAATTTGCATGTAACGTAAGTTAACAAATACATGATAAAGTTTTGGTTTTTCTAAAATTTAGTCAAAAAACTTAAGTTTTTTAATAATATATGCGAAAGAGTATTAAATGTTACATTTTTACATTTAATATTTTAAATAAGAATGCTTAGTTAAAGCACATTTTTATTTTAAATTTGTGTAACGTAAGTTAAAACTACATGCATTTTCTAAAGCTCTGGCGCTTTTTTATTAAGTTTTTGTTTTCAAAATGAATTACATTATTAAGTAATTCTTATGTTGCTTTGGTATTGACAAAGTTCTGACCAAACTTTTTATATTAGGAGAATTTAGAAGAAAAAATTTTTTAATGTTAGTGTTAATTAAAATTTAAACTATTGCTTTTTTATTTGTTTATGTATTCTTATTTTAGTTGACATAAATACACATAAATAAATAAAAAATAAGAATTATATAAATATTTGTATTTAGACATTAAAAAAAAAAAAAGAATTGTTTGCTTTTGTCCTAATATATAAAAAATCAGTTCGAATCTTATTTTTATTTTAGCAAAATTGTTTGTAAATGCAATTATGGGTCATCCATAAAGCACGTCATCCTATATTTGTCAATTTTTAACCCCTTCCCTCCTTTCACAAACGATCACATATACCTGAACCCCTCTCTCTCCTAAACTGTGATAGCAGTTTTTTTTGGCATAGAGTTCTTAACATCTTGTGAAAGTTTCTAATACAAACCGCTTAACTGATTCACAGAAATCTGATCTAAAATTTGAAGCAAATTTTTACCTTGTTTTCCATATAACATAAGTTAAGTGGTATTTACAGTAATAAATTCTTTTTATAAGTCTTTTTATAAGTTGATTAAGGTGCCCCAAGAAGTCCTTACGGTCTTATCACAGAGCACCGCGGAAGAGCATTTAATAGGAAGTTCACGCCTCCTTCCCAACCGATGTTGCAAAACTTGCCCAGAGGTGGGGTTTGAACAAAAAAAGGCAAGTGCACTACCACTGCGCCACTGCTGCTTTTTAGTTCGCCCTCTTTTGGCTAGATTTAACACTTTTTAGTTTATTTTATTCTTTAGATTAACAGCTTTCATACAAAATAGCTAAAAGTATAATTTACAGTTTATATAGGCAAATATTTGATAAAGTTGTTGCAACAACTTATATAAATTTTTTACGAAATTGCTCAAACCCTCAGTTGATGTTTGACTGAAACAACTGTTTATTTCAGAATGATTTCATCAATGATAATGTTAACCTTATGATTTCTAAACACAAGCTCATATGTTTTCTATGTTTAGATGGATAAAGAAAAGATTGACGAGAAAGAAGACAATTTAGTTTCTGTAAAGCCTAAGATGAAGGTTAGGGTAATAAAGGTTTCTGAAAAAAAAATTTCATTGGCATTATTATAATATAATTACCACATGTTATCAAATATTATTTTTAGTTGCATAATTTTATAGGATGTTGGAGATGGTTCAATGAGGTTTAGATACCACAGAGTATTAGCACGAAATGATTTTGATGGTTATTATTATTTAGCCTTAGTTAAGAAGTATCTAAACTCACGTTTTGTTAATGTATGCTTTGATAATGGTGAAGAACAAATTGTATCAGTTCGTTATGTTATATCTGTTGGAGGATCAAGACCATGTCCATCGCTTAAAGTATGTAATATTATGAAGTACTTTATTTCACTTTTTTTTTTGTGGTTATTGTGTTGTTTTGTGGTTATTCTGTTGTTAGTGGGGTGGTATCTTATTAGTGGCAATTGTTGATTCTTTGTTTTTAATGTTTTTTATTTACTTTATTTTTATATTTATTTATATTCAAAATATTTTATACTTACATTTAAAATACTTTATTTAATCTATGATTAAGCAAATTTTTCATTTAATCATGACAAATACAATAACAGTCCAGAAGCAAAAAAACTTTTTAGAAACATTACTTTAGAAGAGTTTGAACTAATGACCGCATGAACGAAAAGCAAGATTGCATACATTGAGTTACAATATTATTTTTAATGGGTCCCTAGATCTTCATTGTTTCTATTATAAAATATATTAGTAATAAAAAAAAATGAATATCAAGAATTTTATATAAATGCTTGAATCAAAATTTTACAGATTATTTGCTGATAAGCATTACTTCTTGCCTGAATAGAAAATTTTTTGAAAACAAAATATGGTAATTGAAGAATAAGAATAATACTGTATTATGTAGCAGAAAAAAATCTCTATATATCAAATACAATATGATGAAAAGAAAATCTATATATCAAATACAATATGATGAGCAGTTTGACTCTCAAAAAAGATATCAGAGTTTTAGTTCCAAAAGACCTTAAATAGGTAAAACAACCTTAAATAAGTAAAAAAATCACAGTATGTGCTATAGTCTTTTTTTATTCTTTTTCACCAGACTATTGTCCCACACATTTTATACAGAAAAAAATATTCAACAAATTGCAATCTGTGCCCTTCAAAAGGTCAAAAAAAAATTCTGCACTAATCAAGTTGTTGATTAGTGCAGAAATGCATAATGAATGATTTCAAGAAATATATTAACAAATGTGCTTATTATCATAAATAATAAACTTTTTTATATAAATATACACATTTATTCTCTTGAGCTATATTAATTATTTTATTAATTTTCCTAATTCTAATTAATTTCAAAATTTAATTTCTAATTTCTGAAATAAAAGTATAACCGAGTTATAATTTTTTAACCTAATTCTTTGTTGTAAAGTGGTATGTAGTGAGATTTAATTTGTCTTTTACTTTTAAATGTTTGAAGAATAAACTAAAATAAATATTTATTAGATAGGCGATCATGTACTTGCAAGGTGTCAATCACATGAAAGTCTTAATGGAGAAGATGATTGCTACAAACCTGGTATCGTTCAAGTAACACCTGTTCAAGCTAATTCCTCTCTAAACTTTCATACTGTTGTTTTGTATAATGGAATGAAAGTATATTGTTTTTTAAGTAAAAGTATTTTTTAATTTAACATGTTTTAAAATTTTTTCTTATTGAAATATCTTTGTGCATTTCTTTTAAATTTAAACATTTTTTTAATTCTTTAAAAAAAACATGTTAAACATGGAGCATTTCTTTAAAAAATAACATGTTAAACACGGAGCATTTCTTTAAAATGTAAACATGTTAGACATGAAGCATTTCTTTTTAAAAAAATGTTACGCATGAAGCATTTCACTTTTAAAAACTGCTAAATTATCGTTTTATAAATATAGATATTTTTTGGTCAATTTTATTTTTTCATTAAAAAATAAGTATTTTATTGTTTTATCTAACATTTTTTTTTTTTTTTTGAATAGATAACTTTATTACGCAAAGATATGTCAAAAATCAGTCGAGCAAGATTTGTGCAAACAGTTCGGTTCATTCAAGAGGCTGTGATATCATCTCAAAATGAGTTCAGGTTTGATATTCATATATATTCATGTCATTAGTTTCATAGCCTCTTTAATTGTCATGGTGTTATAGTTGAGATTGTAAAAATATGAATTGAAACTCTTTAATTCATATTTGTGAATTAAAATACTGATTAGATGATTTTATTTTCACACTTTTTATGTTTTCAAAAAATAAAAATATAGTGTGCATATGTTTTGAATGTCTTAAACATGTTATGTTATTTTGGATGTTTTAATATTTTGAATGTTTTAAACATTTGTTTACTATACATTTACATGCATGTTTAAAATATTTTTAACATAATTTACATGTGTTTAGAATATTTTAAATGTATTTAATATACAATTAATTTATTATTACTCCAAAAAGAATGATACTACTAATATTATTATTATTATTACTACTAATAATAATACTAACAATATTATTAATATTATTAATATTTATTACCTATATATATTATAAGTTTGTTTAATTGATGTTAATTATTATAATAATAATAATTTTTAAATTAGATCAGTGTTTAATGATTTTTCTTCTTTAAATGCATTTAATTTTTGAATTTAGATTGAAAGATTTTCAAGAAAAAGGTCTATTATTTGAAAATGATTTGTTTTTGTAACATTTTATAAGTTTTATTTAAACATTTAATAAAACATTATTATAAAATATTTATTAATATTTTAAACATAATTTTCTAGAAACTCAATCATTATCGGATGAAAGTTCTGTAACATCTGGAAAATCTGAAGATTATCGCAATGCTGAAACTAATAGTGTTGTTTCAGAAGATAAGGAACAAGATGTATATGATGTTGTTTCTATTCATTCAGAGTATGACATGGATGATACAATTAAAAAGTTAGAATTAACTAATGACTTGACAAAAGAAAGTTATGAAAACAATACAAATTTGTTAAATGATTTGACAAAAGAAAGTTATGAAAACAATACAGATTTGACAAAAGAAAATTTTGAAAACAAATTAAATTTATCGTTAAATGAAGACGATTTTTTTGGGAGTCAGAGTGAGCAAACAGACAAACTAAATGAAAATGAATTATTGGAAAATGATAAATCCCGAGATCTAAAAAATGATATTTTAACAGATATAAATGACGATTCCACTTCAATAAAAAACAAAATCATCAGTGTACAATTACTTGAAGAACTTCAGCAAAAAATAAATGAACATCAAAAATATATTGAAATGAAGTATGATTTAAAGTTTCAAGAGTTATCAGAGCAAGCAAACACACTTCAAAAAATAGAAGAATTTTTATGTGAAAAAATTGCACATCAAACAGATTTACAAAAACAGTTCCAGTTGCAAATATCTGATGATATAAAGCAGCAAGAACTTCTATTACAAAAGCAATTACAAATGCAATATGATGAACTTCAAAATAAAAAAGTGAAATAATTTTCAAATTAAATTTATTAAGTTTTATTAGTTTTAGTGAGTTAGGTTCTAGTAGCATGTAGTATTTGTTATTGTTTATATCGGATAAGACTGGTCAGTATTGACATTTAAATATTATGCCAATAGATATTGGCATAAAATATACTGCCAATATTTACACTAATATTGATGCTAATATCAGACCAATAGTACACCAACATTTCTTGCTACAAGGTTTGTATATAAATTCTACACTGTACAGTTTATATATATATATATATATATATATATATATATATATATATATATATATATATATATATATATATATATATATATATATATATATAATATATATATATACTCAAACTTTTATTATCTCAAACTGTTTTGTTTGGTCCCTTAAAATCGTCTAATTGATTACTATTAAAACTCTCTGTTTTAAGTTTAACTTTGGATAACTCGACTTTGGAGTTTCCAAGTTTCAACTTAAGTTAAACCTTGGATAACTCAAACTTCTTTAAGTCGAACCATTTTTTTGTCCCCTTTCAGCAAATTTCTTTGGATAACTCGAACTTTTTGTTTGGAAATAAAAGATACTTTCACAATTGAATTTTTAAATAAAAGACCGCTACCTTTTTGATGCAATTTTATAACTAAACAATAACTAAGTCATTGTGTCTATACTTTTTTGAACTTTTGACTGAATACAAATGCATGAATACAAAAACTTCTTTCATTGAAACATAAAGGTATAATGGTTGTAAATTTAATGTATATACTTTAGCAATGATTAAAGAAAAATCATCTTAGTCATCTTAATCATCTTAATCATCTTAATCATCTTAACTGGAACTAATATCCACTTAACTGGAATTCGCTTTAGTTGAACATTCGTTAAGTCTGAGATTTTTATTGTTCAGCAGTCTCCTAGCAACTCTACACACTTCTCCTGCTAGTACTTGACATTTTTCTCTGCAAAATAATTGTTTATGTAGGTTATTGTCTCTTCATTCACATGGCAGTGCATTGTGAATGAAGAGACAATGACCTATGTAGGTTATTGTCTCTTTATTCACAATGTTATGTAGGTTATTGTCTCTTCATTCCAAGGCAGTGCATTGTCTTGGTGAAACAAGAGTTTCTTTTTCTGCAAGTTCTACTTTTTTGAAGACAATTGATTAAAATAACTCCATAACTATCCCAAAAAACAGTCGCCATCATATTTCCAGCCAAAAAAGACTTCTTTTTTTGGAACCTGTTCCTTCTGTGGAATCCACTGTTTGGAATATATTTTTATTTTGGGCCTATAATGCTGTATCTAATTTTCATCTACCATAATTAATTGACTCCAAAACTCAGATTTGTTGCGCCTTAACAATATTGATTTAATATGTAAAAAAAAAATGTTTTTTGACATGTTCATAATCTCTGCTATCTCTCTCACTTTAATTCGGCAGTTGTCTAATACTATTTGGTGATCTTTTGCAATTTTATCATTGTTAGTAGCAGTTTTTTGATGTCCTAAACTAACATTATCTCTTAGACTCTTATAGCCACATTTAAATTCAGCTGCATAAAATTGCAGTGGTAAATGATGCTGCTGAGTCCCCATACACAGAGTTCAATTCATCTTTTGCGTAGTCACATTACCTTTTAAAAACAAATATTTAATGACAGCTTGGTACTCAGTTTGATTATTTTCACAAAAACACTCACATCGACTCACTCTAACGACTGTTACATAACAATTGTGCATCTGGAATGGCTGAAACTTTGGTGAGGCTTTAAATCAAAAATGCTGCTATCTTCACATTGAGGTTGGAAGTTTTTCAGAGCACCCTTGTATGTGTGTATATATATATATATATATATATATATATATATATATATATATATATATATATATATATATATATATATATATATATATATATATATATATATATATATATATATATATATATGAACCCTCGGAATTGGGGAAGTTAAGGTTGGCAATAAATAGCCGACCTCAATTTATTAGAGTTCGGCAAAAAATATTTGACACAAAGGGGTACTATAAAACATAGAAATGATATATATATACATATATATATATATATATATATATATATATATATATATATATATATATATATATATATATATATATATATGTATATATATGTATATATATATATATATATATATATATATATATATATATATATATATATATATATATATATATATATATATATATATATATATATATATATATATATATATATATATATATATATATTTATATATATATGTATATATATATGTATATATATATATATATAAATATATATATATATATATATATATATGTATATATATATATATATATATGTATATATATATATATATATATATATATATATATATATATATATATATATATATATATATATATATATATATATATATATATATATATATATTTACAGGAATATTCAAGTAATGAATATCTTCAGTCAACAAAAGAACTACTTTATCAGCATGAACAACTAATTAAACAAATTTTGGAGAATCAACAACATCAACTTGTTCAGCAAAACAAAGAAATATCTGAAAGTCAAGAAGTTAATGAAAAAAAAGAATCTTCCAATGATATTTCTCCGCTTTTAAGTTATGAATCCAAAGATGATGTCACAGATGACTTTTTATTAAAAGATATTCCTTGGTCAAGCACACCATCAGATGTACTTAATTCAAGATCAGAAATAAAACATGATATGTATAGTACATTTATTTTTTTAATTTATTTTTTTGAAGTTTAAATGGAATAATTATAATTTTTATAGTGTACCTTTTTTTTAGTTTTTAAGTCAAAAGTTTTTATTTTCTTTTAAATTAAGATATAACACCAATAACATTATTAGCTCTTCAGAAAAACAACATACTAATGAAAAAGATAATCTTTCATCTGAACTAAAAGTTCTTGTACACCCTTTGTCAGAAGCAGTATTATTAGCTCAAGGAGATTCTGGATTATTTGTGTGTAAGTTTTTTGTGTGAAGTTTTTTTATAACAGAGAAAAAAATTTTGCTAAATATAAATTCTGTTGCCTGCAAAGCATAAATTGATTACCTACAAAAATAATAGAATTTACATATATAAAAGTTAAGGTAAGAGTTGGGGCTGGGCCTGATTTAATGTCAATAAATCATAATAGTTTTTAAAGTGGTGTGAATAATCCTGGAAAAGCTATAGGAAAAAGTTAATTCTGACACTAAACAGTAAAATAAAATATTTGGGAAACCAATATCTTGGAGATCATGAAGTCATTTGAAACTTGATGTTCATTTTTTCTTAACTTTAAGTCTTTTAAAATCCAGCATAAAAAAATCTTAACTTTAAATCTTTTAAAATGCAACATAAAAAACTAATATCTAAACATATTATTTTTTTATGTTGCATTATAAATAATTAATAAATAGAAACAAAACAATGCTGTATATTGGAAAGCAGCCAAGAAAATAAAAGCAGAAAATGAAAAGTAATGTGAAAGCAGAAATTAGAATATGAGATTTTAAATTTAACATATTATTAGCTTGTATTCTGATTATTTCTATGATGTGCTGCTATCAATTCAATTTACTATATAATGCTGCTGGCGCCAGTGCTGCCATATATAATGCTGCTGGCGCCAGTGCTGCCATATATAATCAGTTTACAGTGATGTTTGACGAAACTATCGTGAAAACTAAATGAAGTTTAAAATAAAATAAAAATTAAAACACTTTCAAATATATATAGTATAATTAAAATATGATTTTCTTGAAAGACCTGAAATTGTTGCCAATTGTTCATAAAGATTTTATTTTAATTGTTGCCAATTGTTCATAAGATTTTATGAAATCTTTTCTTTAGAAAACAAAATTTTATTATAGATAAAAGTTCATTAGTATGCTTCATATTATTATGAGAATTTTAACAAATACAAATTTTAAAGTCCACTATAATGTATATTAAAAACTATGGCAAATAAATATCTTAACTTTAAATCTTTTAAAATGCAACATAAAATATTAATATCTAAACATATTATTTTTTTATGTTGCATTATAAATAACTAATAAATAGAAAAAAACAATGCTGCATATTGGAAAGCAGCAGCGTAAATAAAAGCAGAAAATGAAAAGTAATGTGAAAGCAGAAATTGGAATATAAGATTTTAAAAATATTGAATTAAAACTATTATATAGAATCAGAATTTTTGGATTGAAGTTAAAAGTTTACTAACTTTTTAGTTGTGTAAAATGTAACACTTGCAACTTAACCTTCTCTGCTAATAGCTATAGGGAAATGTTTGCCTACCTAAAATTAATTTAATTACCTGCGTACAATTAATTTATTACCTGCAGGAAATAGAGATTGATTGCCTGCAGAAGAGAAGTTTTATTGCTTGCAACAGATGTTTTATTATATGTATGAGAAAAATTCTATTGTTTGCATCAGAGCAATTAAGAATTATTCTTTTTTTGTCATAGTTACCAACTTTTACCAAAGTTATTATCTTTTACAGCTCGTACTCCATTAGAATCTGGACCAGTTGTTCAAATAAGTAGCATTTCTTCACCCCTTGCTATAGGTAAAGAGGTTCTGGGAAGATTTAAAAATGATGGATTGTATTATAAAGGTATTTAATTTTGTTTTCTGATTTTTTTTATTAAAATATATTTACATTTTTTGGCATATTTTTATTTTTTTTCTTAACTATGACAGCATTGCTTATATAGAATTTTGTGTATGCTTTTGTCATGTCACATTTTTTTGCATAAGAGTATTTATACCCATCTTTTTACTTTTGTGTTGTCTTTACGGTAAGTGATGAATTGCAACAACTATGATGATTAATGATCCAGTAGTTGCTTAAATTTGTCAACTTATATTGCTTCAACAACAAAGGTAAAGCATTCCAGTCATTGACTACATTGATGAAAATGTCATGCTTGAATTTGCAGTTCCTGACAATCTTGCAATAAAATCTAGTGGGATCTCCAGCTCTGGGTGTTATAGTGCAAAGGTGCTTTTCTAAAAGGTATATAGTAATAGTAATACAAACTGCTGTAACGACGATTGTCGCGGAGCATAAAGTTTAAAATTTATACTTTAACAGCCGTTAACAAATGTTTATCTAGTCTAGCTTTAAAAGAATTTACTGTCATTGAAGAAACCACTTTTTCAGGTAAAGCATCCCAATGAGGTATCACTCTGTTCGTAAAAAAATTGTCTCGGTGTTGTTTTTGCAAATTCTCTTTCAAATTTCATTGGATGACCTTGAAGTCTCTGGGAAGAAGCTTTATTAGGCTCTTTATACCACAATATCTTATCAATCCCAGTTGTTAATTTGAAAAAAGCAATGAGATCTCCTCTTATACGTCTTGTTTCCAGAGTTGTGAGGCCCAACTTTGTCAATCTGGGGCTAGCATTGTTGTTCGTCTTTGAATTTTTTCTAGGTCATTGATATTGTTTTTATTACTTGGACTCCACACTGGAGCTGCGAATTCCAAGTGTGGTCTAACCAGTGATGTGTATAGTTGTCTTACCATTTCAGTGTTAAGATAAGTAAAGCTTTTTCTTATTAAACATAAGATTCTTTGTGCTTTACTTGTAGCTACTTGAACCTGATGATTCCAGGTGCTTGTAGACAAGCTTATACTGTTGTATAAGGTTGCATATTTTACATCTGTCTTCAAGAGTTTAATAGAGAAGAGTTTGAGGAATTTTTGTGTTGTTTTGTTGTGTCTTTTCAATTTTCTTACATAGCTAACAGGTAGGAGTTACATGCTTGTATACCGAACTCCAGATGTGGTTTGACATATTTTATATAAGGTTATTTCAATTTTTTTTTCCTAAGATGAATTAAAAAAAAAAAAAGAGATAAAAAGGTATGTTTTAGAGTTCTGAGCATTTTCATTTTTTTTTTTTCTTTATTTTTGTTTTGGATTGTTTGCATCTGTGTTTACATGTGTGTTGCATTGATGAGCGTAATTGAGAACCTCAGAATTTTAAATTCCACATTTTTTTAGAATTATAGACTGTTTTAGTTTTTTGATTTCTGATTTTAAAAAGGTATTCATGATTTCAATGACTTTTAGGTATTGTTCGAAGGTTGTTGAATTCCACTTATGTCATAGAGGATGGTTTTGGAGATGTATATAAAGTAGAACGCGACAACATCATATTTGAGACTGCAGATAATACTATTCAGGTATTTTATTATTTCAAACTAGTTTATTTACTTTTTTTATTAAAATAAATTTAATCTCAACAAGGCTGCAAGCAACCACTGTTTAAGTTAAGAGTTAATAGAAAAAAAAAGGTTTTAAAGAACAAGAAAATAGTTGAATGTAAAAAAACTGTAAATAGTCAGAAAAGAATGAAAGTGGGTGTGTTTTAAAGTGCAAATGTTTAATGATTGAGTTTTGGTTGTTGGAAAAAATGATAAAAATTTAATTAAACTATGACCATGGTAGTATGCAAAAAAAGAAAAAACAACATAAAACAGTAGCTCAAGCTTGGCAGTTCCAACAATATTTACAACAATACTTACTTACAACAATATTTACAATATGATTTTGAGCCTTGTCTAAAAGAGATGAGGTTTCATCAGAAAAACTTACACAATAATGTCAACAATGTTCCATACAAGACAAATATAAGATTTATAGAGCTAGAGAATGAAATTAGTAAGAAAATAGCAAGCACAATAATAAAGTATTTGACTCTATTTTAAAATGTTAGAAAAAAAAGATATTTTATTTAGATAACTTTGATATTTTTCAACATTATTCATTACTTTAAATTTAAATAATTGTTTATAAACAAAAAGATTAAGGAGTTAAGCATTTTAAAGTTAAACATTTTTTTTGTATTTTACTTTCATAGATTGGCAGTCATGTCATTGGTTTATATTCTAGCTTGGTTTCCTCTTATGCGCCTGGTAAAAAATTATTTTTTGTTGATCTAATAAATATGTGTTAATATATTACATTATGTTTAAAGAATATTTTGTTTATCTAAAATTTGTTTTTAATGATAGGCACAGTGATATCATTAGATAGAGGCAGTGCAATAAATATACAATTTTATGATGGTCAAACTGTGAGTATTTAGATATTTCAAAAAATTAATTAGCCATAAATAATTTTTAGATTTATTAGTAACATTAGTAACAATAGTAACAATAGTAAGATAGTAATGTACTTACTTTAGTGATTTAATCTTTTTGATTAAATAAAAAAATAAAATTCTGTTTTACATGATATTTTTGTAATCATTCTTGCTTTTGGCTGTCTTATCTAAAAACTTTATATAAATGAAATATTTGTGTTATAAATATGTATTTTTGATTTTGATTTTTAAATTTGGTTCTACTTGATTTTTTTTTACTTTTTAAATATTTGATTTTTTAAATAAGTTACCAAGTAAGGTGTTTTTTAATTTGTATACCAAATAAGATGTTTTTTTAATTTTTATTATACACTATGCAACAAAAAAAAAAAAACTTTGGATTATCAGAATAATGAAAATCTGTAACTTGTGGAATTATTAAATTTGTTTCCTTCATGACATCAGCCACAGACCTTTTTTATGATGTAATTATATCTTGATGTAATGACTATGTGAACAAAATAACATTAACTGGTCAGGTATTGCATGGTATTAAAAATCCTCTAAATGGCAATCACTTTTTTAAGCACTTTTCTTTTATCAAAGCAGTCATTATTGGGATCCAGTTGTGAAGAATATATTTGGTGTCAAGTTGAAGCCAAAATAATATGTCCTTCAGAACCCTCTTTCGTTCTTTTTAAACTTTATCTGGAGTTGAACATTGTAATATTTTAGTTAATTTTTTTAATTAAATATTACAAATAATAATTGTAATGTTTAATTTGTCATTGTCTCTGCTTAACATATTTTTTAAAGTAATCACTTTTTTTTCTCTCTTTCTTATCTTCTTTCTTGAAATCCAGTTCTGAAAATTAAAAAATAAGTACTATAAAAATTAAAAAGAAAAATGTATTTCATACAAATAGAAGTTTAACTTAATCATTGAGTGCAAAGAGTTCTCATTTTTTACATCTTTGTTTCTGCTTTCCTGTGTTTTTACAGAAAGCATAGCAATAGAAATGTTTTTGTTGTGAACTACCTGATGAAAGTGTACAAAATATTTGTGTAAACCCTGAGGCATATATTTCTAAAGGTATAGTTGAACAAAACTATGGGCTGTCTTACTGTAGATCTCCAGAACATTAGTTCTCAGTGTTTACCTCTTTCATTCAAGTGAGTACACATAGTATGATGTACAACCATTTGGTTAGGTGAGAATATATTGATGAAAACATCAATATGGATATTGATGAGAATGTACTTCAGCATTAACATATTAAGCTTGTAAGCATTTTTATTTATAAGTTTTTTATAGTCCATGCATTTTTTAACGTAAATTATAAAAATTATAAGATTAATTTAATTCTAAAAACATCCTAAGAAAATGACTTGCATTATTACCATAATTGGATGTTTCAAATCCACCAGATCTAGGAGCATTTACTACCAATATAAAATATGATTTTGAAGTTGAATGATTTCATATGGCTGCTAACCCTTTTTTTTTTTTTTTTTTTTCTTGTTGAAAAAATCTAATAAAATGTAAATGTTGTACATTTGTCTACAACATTACATTTAGATTACATAATATTTGCTTTTTGATTTTTTTTTTTAACCTTCTTAATTCATTATTTCATCTTTCACTGTTGTATTGTTGAGATTTGCGCATATATAGAAGTTATTGTACTCTATGCGTTTTTTGGACAAAAACATAACTTTTGAAACATTGCTTCCTTTTTACTTTGCAAAAAAATATTTATTTAAAAAAAAACTTCATAAAGATTTCAGTCACAAAAGATTTACTTTTTCCTGCCAATGGCAGTAAAGATTTACTATAAAAAATAATGCTCAAATTAATTTTTTTTTTTCAATTCCTAAAACTATTTCTAAAACTAAAAAATTATTTTTTACAAAAATATGACAAAAATTTTTTACAGGAGATTTTTATTATTTAAAAAAAAAAAAATCATTCAGAAGTGCACAGAGCTCTAAAACTAAAATTCTATCTGATTAGCCCCAGTCTCCCATACCTAAAATAAATTTTTTTATTGCAATAAAACTAAGTTCCACATTCCATTTAAATGTGTCAGAAAAGCATAAACACTTTTATTTCTGCCTGAAGCTAAGAGAATATAATCATATATGTGTGAATCTAAGAGAATTTAATCACAAGTGTGAATCTAAGAGAATCTAATCACATATGTGTGAATTAGCTATGTTTAAGTTACCTTTTATTTGCTTAATCTATTTTACTTTTTTTAAAACTTAGCAGTAATTTAAAAGCAGCTGATTAACAGAAAATATCAGTTGGTAAAATATCTACCTTTCTTTTGTATAGAACACATCACCTAACTAAATTGATATGCAAAACAGTATTAGTATTTCTCCTTCTTTAGTTAGTTGTATCAACCTCCTTCTTCATTTTTATTTTTATGATGCAGCTGTGTCTTTGTTTCTATAAAAAATATTTAATACTTTCCAGCTTTAAGTACCTTTTTATTATACTTTTTTCTTCTTTTACCATAGTCACTTGTTCCGTGCACAGAAGTTTATTTAACAACATATTCTAAGTTTGAAAGGGACATATTGATTATAAGACAGCATGAGAGTGCTTTGGTCGGACAAACTGTTGTTGCCAGAGATAATAAAACTGGAAAGTATCACTTAGCAACCGTAAAGAGTCAAATACTTGGATCAAGAAATTATCTAGTTGAGTGGTCAGATCAAACATTAGAACATCAGGTTTGTACATATAAAAAAAAGTTTTGTAATTTCTTGTAAAACTTTTTAAAAAGTTATTATTATTGCTTTCTCTTTATTTTTAGAACTATGTTTTTATTTTTGGTTCACACTCAATACATAAAAATATGAAAAACAAAAGTCATTGTTTAGCCATTACTGATAAAGGTATCATTTGTTTCACTTATTTATTCAAGGTTTACTTTCATATTGTTATTTTTCAAGTTTCAAAGTACAAAAAAAAGCCACATATAATGCTAAAAATACAACTTAACTTTTGACTAAACTCTTTGTTAACAGGTTAACAAAGAGTTTAGTCAAAATTTTTATATCTTTGCGATATCTCATTGACAACAATAAGCTTGAAAATATATTTTGATATTTGTAAACAACTTGATAATACATTTTGATATTTATAGATAGCTTGATAATACATTTTTATTTTGATATTTGAAGATGATTAATAAGGTTCATATTGCTACACATATCCATAAATAACTAATAGTGTTGTTTTAAATAGGATGTAAAATGAACCACTGACAAATTTAAATTTTTGTAGATAAAACTTAAAATAAAATTAAAATTTCTGTAAATCTCTTATTTTTTTCTTTTTGAGAACCACTGAATATAGAAACAAAGTTTTGTACTATAATTTTTGCAAAAAATTGTTTTTTATTTAGTATGTTTCCTAAAAATCTAAGAATAAAGAGTAATTAGTTCATTCTAAATAAAATATTCAATAATTTATTTTGATTATGACTTATAAATTCCAGCAATGAAAATATTATTTGAAGAGATGAAAAGCTAAATGAAAATATGATTTTTTATAAAATCTTATTTTTTTAAATGTCATTGTTTTTTTTTTTGTTTTTTGTTTTTTGCTTTCCTGCAAATATGATTTCATTAGTTTTATTTCGGAATTAATTATAAGTTTCATAATTTCTGGGTGTTTTTAATAAACCTTAAATACTAAATACACACTTCTTATACACCCATGCTTATATACAATCTCATTAAATTTGAATTTAATGAGATTGGAGTGAGTTAAATTTTGGATTAAAATTTTGAATTTTTACAAAAATTAGAATTATTATTTTTTTAATTTTAAATTGTTAATTAATGTTAATAACATTAGTTAATGTTTATTTTCAAGGTTTAAAGTGGAAGTTTTGTAAGCTTGTTTCGTAAGGATATAGATACATATATCTTGATTGATTTTTTAGATGTTAGGTTTGAAATTTGTATAGTTTTTCAAGAGACTAAGACAAATAATTTTTCAGCTTTACTCTTTAAATAACTTTAGATGTATTATATTCGATTTTACAATTTTTTGATAGTTTATTTAGATATTTATGATATAGTGGGAACCTTTTTAAATAAAATTGAACTAAATTATAAATCAGTTTAATTTTATTTCAATTAATTTTAAACATTTGTTTAGATACATTTACATATTTACCAGCCATTGTTGAAAGTGTAAAAGAAAATGAGTTGAATCTGGTCTTTTGTGATTCAAACACGTATGTAACTGGGTTTTTTTTTCAATTAAATTTTATGTTTAATTTTAAAAAGAAGGCATCTGGAAAAAGTTATTTCTTAAAGGCTGTTTATATGAATCAGGATGAATAAAAAAATATTTAATAATAAAAAAAATGTTTACATTAGAATTTTAATTTAAATTTGAATTATACATTTTTATTTTTAGTAAGTTGATTGTTTTAAAAAAAATTGGAAACATTTTTGATTGGATAAAAAAATTAGCGTGATTCATTTTACCAAATCACCATTCTAAATTCATAGACTAGGTTGGCTTACTTGTTTGTTTTATATGGAAAAAATTTATCTTGCATCAGTGGGATCTCACTGAAATTATGAGAGATTTCAATTATCCGGGTTAGCACATTTCACATGTAAACAAGATTAATTTTTATAGGTAAATATTAAACATGTCGTGATCTTGTTTAAGTGAACCAGCCCGGTTAATTGGGCTAGCCTGCCTCATATAAGCAGCCTCTTATAAAGTTTTTTTGTAATTTTTTTTTTTTTTTCAATTTTATGCAATAATATTTTTTAGAGATTACTTGTGTATTGTGTATTGTGTAAGGTTAGTCTATTATCTATAGGTTTGTGTAAGCTCTTTAAATTTGCACATGCTTTTAAAGGAAAACTAATTAAAAAAACTGATTAGGAAAATGGAATACAAGACTAATGAGAAATCATAAAATATATATTGAAAATATGAAGTTTTTTATTTGCAAGTAAAATGCTTTTAAAAAGCCTGGAAATCGAAGAAAATTAATGATGTTTGATGTGGGATTTAAAAAACATTTATATTAGATAAATAAAAATAATACTTTTCCAGTATAAATGTTTCCCGAATTCTAAAATATTTTTCTACATAATTTTTTTTTCTATGGGTGTTAGAAGAATCTGGGTGGGTGTTAGAAGAATCTGGCACTTTTCTCATGCAAATAATAATTATTTAACAATAGAGTTTTAACTACATGAACTTAAAAAATAATTTAATAAATTTTTTTTAATTTTGCGTTTATTTAAGTTGTTTATTGCATTTTGATTGGTTTAAATATGCAATTGGTTTTCCTGTACCATAGGTTCATTAATGTTCATTTTTCTGTAACGTCAATTGTTACAAAAATGTAACAATTTTTTTATCCAAAAGTTGGGACCATTAAAATAAAACACCAATTTTTTTGAATGAACTCTAAAAATTTAAATATTAAATAATAATTGGTTGGCAAGTTTGATTATTCAAAAAGTACACCGATTTAACCAGAATTTTCAGCCTAGATTAAATTTAAAAAATAATTTTTCAGCAATGGGCACCCTATAGGAAAGCTAGGGGTGGTTGGGGAAGGGTTTGTTCACCCTTTTTTTTTTTACTTTCTTTTACAAAATCCTTTTTTTTTAATTTTCTTTTGCAAAATCCTTTTTTTTTTAATTTTATTTTAACTATTTATTGGCAATATGTCTATTTAAATTTTAAAAAACCTTTGATTACATTTTTTTTTAATTTTAGTCAATAATTTTATTTAAATCTCAAATGGAAAACACTTTCCATGTTCATCAACTCAAATTTTGATTAAGTGATCAGGAAACAGCTTCCATTTTCAATAGAAAGTGTTTTCTGATCATTTGTGAACAAGAAATAGTTTCCAATTTTAATGGAAAGTGTTTTTTATGACTTGTGATCAGGAGACAGTTTCCATTTTTAATGGAAAGTGTCTCCTGGTCACAAGTGATAAGAAAACACTTCATTGACTGGAAATATATTACATTGGGAGAGCAGCATTATCTTAAAACTCCATATAATTTTTGTCTAACATTTCATTGACAGGAAAAATATTACACTGGGTCTCTTCAATATACAGGTCATGAATTAGTTCATTATCTTTTCAGGTTCAAATGAAGGATCGGTAATCCAGAGTATGCCCAAAAGCTTTAAAACTGCTTTGTTGACCTTAACAAAGCAGTTCTGGCAGAATGATGCCATTTACAATTAAAATGGTGAAATGATTCAAAATCATTATAAGTAATCGAAATCGAAAGTGTGAGTCAAATATTGCAGTTGATATATATTTTTTAATTAAATTTTAATAATTATATTGTGCAGACAGAAGAATAATTTGATACCCTGTTGGAAGATAGATGGGCATCAGAGAAACGAAAATAGATAAAGATTTTATTTTTGTCATACCTTCCAAACCCCACTTTTTATTTCAGAATGAACTAGATGAATGAAAAATGAATGAATGAATGAAAATTTGATCAGAGATTAGTACTAAATCAAAGTTTCTAACATTGTAACTGAAAGAATTTGTTTGAAAAAGATTTTAAAATATATGTATCAAAAATAACATAAGGTGTAAGGTGCATAAAGTGTAAGGTGCAATAATTGCTTCTGCAACAATATGAATGGAATGTTTATTGCTTTGGAACCTAAACATGTTACCTGGAAACATGACAATTTGTGATAGTTCAAGAAGGAGTTTGAAAGCACTGTTATTTTACAACAGTAATCAACATTCATCGTTGTCTTTTCCTCGTTCTGCACAAATTATAAAAAACCATGATGTCAGGAATCTCTTTAGTAAAATAACCTACAAAGAATTTAAAAGGAATATTTGTGGTGACTTCAGAATATTGACTTTCTTGGTTGGGTTACAAATAGAACATGTTCATGTTTTCTTTGTCGAATAGTAGAGCTGATGATGAGCATTACAAGAGAGTTGAGTGCCCAAAGCACGTTATGCTTCAGCCCAGAAAAATAAATGCTGTATGACATTATTTAATGGATTCCAACAAAATTTTGCTTTTGTTGCTTTACATTAAGCTGGGATCAGCAAAGCAGTTTACAAAGGTTCTAAACTACAAAGGCTAAATTTTATTGAAAAATTTAGCCTTTGTACAAAGGCTAAATTTTTCAATAAAATTTAGCCTTTGTAGATTAGAAACTTTGTGTCTTGATGCTATAGTTAGGATTTTTAGGTATGCATAGTAGTTACAAAAAAGTATTGCTCAATGGATTGAATAGAATCAATAATGCAGTTAAAGTTAAGCATCTATTGACATTAATAAATCAGTGGTCAGTGTGCTTAGAAAAAGATTGACGCCTTTGGTTTTTTTGGAAAATAAAACAATAACTAAAAGAACTATAATGTGACTGAAGTATCTTCTATTGTTCATGAAGAAGCTACACAAGCAAATGAAAAAGAACTCATCAAAATTGTTAAAGAAAAGAAGTAAAACACATCAGTTCTTAAAGAACAAATGTTTTAAAAAAAAATAGCTTTTAAAGTTTAACATACCGTTGAGGCCCTAAAAACCTATATAATGTCAAGAAACAACTAATGTGTTTCTGCTGTTAGCAGTATCTATCGTTTTTATTTCTTATTTATCTGGAAAGGACAAAACTAGAAGCAATAAATGTTACATGTGTTTGTACTGGTTGCATATTGCTTGAGTCAGCATTTATCACAAAACAAATTCTTGTGTGTGCTAGGACTGTAAATAATTTGTAACAATTTTAATTTTTTGCAACTATAATCGATGTTTCAAATCAATATTTTTTGAGTGCTCTACTCTTTTCAACATTACTTTTTACAAAGTAAAAATATCTATTTTCTGCACAGAACAGTTGATGGCCACCTCTAAATTAATAAAATCTGCAATGGTGAAGAATAATGTGAATAAGGGAAACGATGTTATAAAGTAATATTTTTTGGAATAAAATCAAGGGGCTACTGAAACATTTATCCTTAATTTGCTTCCATAGTTATTTTCAAAAGGCTTCGTGTCCTGTTTAAACGATAAAAAGCTGAATTGCAAAATTGCAAGTGAGCACTACAAGAGCTGAATTAGCTCTCTGAACATGAGCAGTCAGTGACGCTAATACCCGATTCGTCTATGATTTTGTGAAGCAGTTTAAAACTGAATAAACTTACTGGAAGGAAGCGCTACTTCAAGTGTTTTCTACAATCAAGTTTCTCACTAGCGGGTACTTTATAAATTTATGTTATTGGCTTGTTGAAAAGATACTGTTATAATATAAAATATCTCATTAAATTTACAGTGGTCTACTGTTTCGTGACAAAAATCAGCAGATTGGTTCAAAACATAACAAAAATTATTTAGGTACGCTTGGACTTCTATCCGAATTCGACTCCATGACAAAGCACTTTAAGATCTGCGGCAATAAAGGAAACGGCAGTACTTCATATTTAACAGCCATTATATCTTTATCAAGGTTCTTACTGATGATCTCATGAAGAATATTGATTAATATTAATTTCTCTAAAAGAACCATACGGCTAAAGCTAAAGACGTCTTTGAGTTTCATTCAGTTTAAGTTTCGGTTTATTTATAAAAAAAATGGATTTGAAAAAAAAAAAAAAAAAAAAAAAACAACAGCGGAATTTTTTAACTGAAATTTTGTACTGAATCAGGCAAATCTACAGTATTCTTATTGTAATTGAATTATTATTTTTAATATCAAATTCAAATTCAAATTATATTAGCTTGAATAAAAAAAGTTTACACTCGTAAATATTTTATTCTTTTAGATTTAATTGTTTATAATTTGATCATTTAAAGTCTAAAAGATAATTTGATCATTTTAAATCTAAAAGATATATATATATATATATATATATATATATATATATATATATATATATATATATATATATATATATATATATATACATACATATATATATATATATATATATATATATATATATATATATATATATATATATATATATATATATATATATATATATATATCTTTTAGATTTAAAAAATCGTTTATAATTTGATTATTTAAAATATATATATATGTATATCTTTTAGATTTAAAAAATCGTTTATAATTTGATTATTTAAAAAAAAAATATATATATATATATATATATATATATATATATATATATATATATATATATATATATATATATATATATATATATATATATATATATATATATATATTAGGGTGGTAGTCAAAAATTAAATGTTCAGATTTTGTCTGGGACAACCTCTAGTCCTGTTCCTATTGATCTCATGTGCAAAATTTCATAAAAATATTCCTTCATTAAAGGGTGCGACATGCCAACTGATAAAATCACATGTACGCGATAGAAAAGATAGCCGTGTAAATTAATGTGTTGTTGAATATTATTGAAATCTTTAAATACATTTTTTTATCTGTAAATCCATTTTGAACACAACCAGAAGTCTTTTCAATGAGGTGTACTCTTTATGTTTTTTTTGAGAATCTGACCAGTTGTTAAATTTATCAACTAATTAATGTTCTGTATATGAAAAATATTTATAAATTTCCAAATGCAGATAAAAAAAACAGAAATTTTACTTCATAGCATTTTTAGAAATTTGTTACATTCAAATAGTTAAATTTTTATAGTGCTTAATTATTAATTATTTAGCTGCAGCCCACTTACTTATTTTTTCTATCCCAGAATTCCTTGTAATTTAACTAAAAATTTTTATTTTTAACGATTTTGCAGTGGAATATCTCAATTGTGAAAAGTCAGTATACATTTAAGTTGTTATTTTGTAATATAAATTATGTAAACTACTTTGAATTTTATTTTATATAAATTCATATCTCTAAACTCAAAAAAGATACTGAATAATGGATATCACTGAATATATACTAAATGAATAAAATTTTATAACTTCTGCAATTCACATCATGCTTATTGCATAACTTTATTTGTATTTTTCTAGATTAATAAATATCAGAAAATGTCACAATCAAAACCTGCAACTAGATCTGCAACCGAAGTTTACCTTCTCGGTTTCACAAATGCCTCCATTAATGGTACTAGACTACCGTCACGAAAGCAAGCATTACAGTTTTTCTTCCATCAGTTGAAAATAAACAAAAAAACCGTGCAAGAAAGTTCGGACATTACTATTAAAACAGTTGCTGATTTTTGGAACAAAGCTTACATGCCAATGACAACATTGCAACATGCAATTGCGAGGCTAGAGAAAATATACAACGAGTGGAGAAATCTACAAAAGGCTTCAAAAAGAGGAGGAGCAACTCAGATAGCAAAAGAAACAGCCTTTGTTGCATCATTTGAAGATACGTTCGACATTTCTCATGTTGATGCCGAGAGGCTTATACAAAATCTAGAAGACAAACTTTTTCTTAAAGCTCAGCTTGGAAATGGAAGACACTCAAGTTCAATGGCACAAATAGACAGAAAATTGGCAGTCAAGTTGAAGCGTTAACATGAGAGACAAGAGGCTGTTAAAGCCAGAACAGAACGAGAAGAATTGAGACATGCTGTCAGCAACGGTGAAGCTGTAGTTGAAGCATTTGAATCAGATTCAGAAAAAAGTTGCAATGAGAACATTCTGACCATGACTCAGCAGTGACACCGCAGACAAAACGACCTCGTCCAAAAAATATTGTCAGTCCACAAGTTGCAGCAGCTTTAGATCGAACGAAGATCAGCGACCGAAATGCGGTTTATGCTTTGGCTTCATTCTCAGTTGCTGTTGGTCAAAACCCAAGTGAACTAGCTCTGAATCGCTGGTCAATTCGACGCAATAGAATGAAACATAGAGACGAAACAATTTTGAAATTGAAGGAAAGTTTTGGTGAAAATATTAGGGATGTTCCACTCGTAGTGCATTGGGACGGCAAGTTACTCCCTGATATATCAGGAAAACATGAAAAAATAGATTGCTTGCCTATTCTTGTTTCGGGTCAAGGTGTAGAACGTCTATTGAATGTGCCTAAGCTCCCAAATGGCACTGGAGAGGCAATGGCAAATGCAGTTGTAACAGCAATCTACGACTGGAATCTTGCAGAGAGTATAAAAGCCATGTCTTTTGACACTACAGCCAGTAATTCTGGGATTCGCTCTGGTGCAGCAGTTCTTATTGAACAAAAGATGAATAAAGAGCTGCTCCATCTTGCATGTCGGCACCATATTTTTGAGGTTGTTCTTGGAGATGTGTTTAACTCATTAGCTGGACCATCTACTGGACCAGACATTTTGATGTTTAAAAGGTTTCAAATAGCATGGTCATTAATCGTTCGTGACAGATATGAAGACGGTATATCAGATCCTGAAACAGCTTTAGTTTTTAGCAGCAACAGAGAAATGATGAAAGAATCTATTGATTTCATTCAGAACTGCTTGCTGACAGAACTGTCTTTGATCTACCTGGTTCATATTCCTCCTCGCGGGGTTCATTTTATGGCTCCTGGGGCTATGCATCGGGCCAGATGGATGGCCAAGGCTATTTATTCAATCAAAATTTTTCTCTTCAGATCCCAGTTTCGCATGACAAAGCGTGAAATAAATTTATCACGTTTCTTGAATATTTTTGTCTGCTTTGTCTATCTCAACTCATGGTTTACTGCTTCGCTGTCCATTCAAGCTCCACTGAATGATCTCATGTGCCTTAAACGACTCACACAATTCAGGACAATAAATGTTGCGAATGTAGCGATAAAGACATTGTCTCGTCATATGTGGTACCTCATTGAGGAACTGATTGCCTTTAGTTTTTTTGATGATCGTGTTGATGCAGCTACAAAATACGAGATGGTAAATGCAATGAAAACAAAAACTGGAAATGGAATTCCTGCAAAACGTGTTCAACTACGTGAAAACAACATTTCATCATCAGAGCTTGCTGATTTCATTAACTCGAACACCATGAGGTTTTTTGTTATACTGGGCATCTCAACTTCTTGGCTCGAATTGGATTCGTCTTTGTGGAACGAGGACCAAGTTTTTATTGCAGCTAAGCATTTTGTAGCCGGTTTGAGCGTTGTGAATGACAGAGCAGAGAGAGGAGTTGCTCTTATCCAAGACTTTAACCAAATTCTAACAAAAGATGAAGGACAAAAGCAAGCACTTCTTCAGGTTGTGTCTGAGCATCGAAAACAGTTTCCAGATGCCAAGAAATGCACTGTTGTTAAACAGGACTAAATAGTCATTTTTCCATTCAAAACAAAATGAAAAACTAAAATGATATTGAAATTATAGTTAATTTTTCATGGTTTTCAATGTTCAATACTTTGTTATTTAAAAACTTTTGAATTAAAATAGTTTATATAAAAAAAATTTTTAAAGTGCTTACAGCCATTAGCGTCAACCTTAGTGAAACTTTCAACCCCGTGTGGCACCCCTTAATGATGAAATATCCTTCTCAAATTTTGCACATAAGTTTGTTATGCTAAAAGGAACAAAAATAGAGGTTGTCCCATCAATTTACTTTGAAAAAGTTTTTTGAGCACCACCCTAATATATATATATATATATATATATATATATATATATATATATATATATATATATATATATATATATATATATATATATATATATATATATATATATATATATATATATATATATATATATATATATATATATATGTATATATATATATATATGTGTGTGTGTGTGTGTGTGTGTGTGTGTGTGTGTGTGTGTGTGTGTGTGTGTGTGTGTGTGTGTGTGTGTGTGCTAAGTCCAAATAAATTGATTTTGAGAAACTACTTAAAGGCAGACAACAACAGAAATTGATATTTTCTTCATCTATTATTAGGACCAAGAATCTGTTATTAGATTTAATATTTAAATAAATGATAGATTTCAGTATATAAAATTTAAAATGAAATAAACTCAAAATTTTTAATTTAGCGACTTAGCATCTCTAAAAAATTCGCTCATATATAATATACATATATAAATTTGTTTAAATTTAGTGTTAAAGCCGTTGAATCAGCGCACGCATTTTGGATTTCTGAACATTTCTACAAAGATGCAGTTTATTATTGGAAATCCAAAAATAATTTATCTACTTAGAAAATGATTTTTTTTTAACGTTTATAAATTTTTAAGTTTTATATTAATACATGTAGAAAATTGTAAATTTTTTGCAAATTTAATGTAGATGTAAAATATTGTCAAATATAATTTATTATATATGTAAAATATTTATTAATGTAGGTTTTTAAGTTTTTCTTAATTCGTTGCCCACAATCCAAAACCCACATTTTTAAAACAGCGATAAAAATAATCTTTTTTAAAACAAAGATAAAATTAAGTTTTTGTTAAAAATAAAATCAGTTACTACTACCTTACGAAACTGGTATTTACTGGTACTTTGGTATCTTTATACTTCATAGACCAGTTTATACAGTACCAATAGTCAATGAAACATAAAAGTTATATCTATACGCGTGTTCATAATAAAAGATAATAATGCATAGTTCGCATCAGGGCCGTCCCATAGAGATCTTAGAGGGGGAGGTAGTGGCGTATTTATTTTTTGCCCATTAACGGATTAAAAAAAATAGTTCGTTCGCTGATATTTATCGACTGCCGACTAGGCGTCCAAATTTGCCGACAAATTTTGAAACAAGTTTTTCGTAGAGTGGTTATACACCTTATGCCTCTCCCCTAGATACGTCCCTGGCTAGTATGTAACTATGTAAATGTCAATCAATTGGGAACTAAAAAAAACTTCTAATGAGAAATATAAAATTAGTTTAAAGATATATTTAAAAATCATAAAATTCAATTATTACTATTTATAACATTCTCATGTCACTGCAATCATTTTATCTAAGTCTTTCGTAACGAGGCTATTATTAGTGATTCAATGTTGCCGAAATTAGTACTATGATTGTAGATAGCTGAATTAACAAATTCCTTCATGTTTTTTGCATGGTAACAAGAAGTAGCGTTCGCTTCCAGGCTTGTTTTTCCTGGTTGATTTTGGATGATAAATTTCTATGGCAAGGTTCTCTGTTTTAGTCGGAACAGTCGTGTTTAAGAAATTTCATCTAGTGCCCTTCTTCCTAGTAGCTTGACAAGCGGTTTATGGTCAGTTACTACCAAAAGATTATCACACCCTTGTGTATAATATTTAGCTTGCTCCAAGCTCCATGCCACTCCTAGCATTTCGTCCTCAACTGGTGTGTATCGATGTTCCATCCGTCTATACAGCTATCTGGGGAGTCCGATTTACATTTGTAACGTTTTTGGCTTAGGTAATACTCTAGTTTTGACCATTATCCCCAATTTTAACCAGTCGCATTTTAATCAGGTTTTCTTGGTAATGTTAAATTTTTGGACCCCATCTTTAATTGTGTTGACGATCTTTTCTTTCGACTCATTGAATAAAATGTTGAGTTCATCCGACCATCAGAATAATGATTTAGAGCTGAGTAGAACTCTAAATGAACCATAATTTATCGAAGTTGGGTGTAATATGATACTTAGTTTACTTAGCCGAACCAAGATCGGATACCTGTTTTTGAGGATGGTGTTGGGAATGATGTCAATATACTTAGGCAGTGGTTCAACTTCATTTTCAGGTATTCTAAAACGCGCAAAGTCCGCTATTCTTTTAGCAAACTTGAATTTTTGTAGATTTAAAATAATTTCAGTTTTACTAACAAGCTCAAGGAGTTCAATTGTCTGCCACCAATGTTTGACTAGTTCATCGTCGTTGTGAAAGCTGTCATTTACGCATTTTTGTTTGCAACTAAAGTCTGTTTTCGTCAAATTTCGTCGAAACGTCTATTGTAGCCATCCCTGCTGGATACAAAACCTTAAGGAGCTCGGATGTATCTATGGCTTCCAAAATGCTTAATGAAGGTGGTAAGATGCTTATCTTCAATGCATATCAGAAAGCTATGATAACCATTCCATATGTCGGTTACAGTTTTTCGGTTATATTTTTTCCTGGTGTTATTGTGTCTGCTTGGTTTTTACCCACGTTTATAAAAAAGTTATTGAAACTGTTCGCAATATCTTTTTTCTCATTAACTATTGTTCTTTCATCCTCAGTATATATTATATTTCGGTAAAGTATTACCTCGAATTTTCTTTTCTTTTCCTATCACTTCCTTTATTATATCTCAAATTGTTTTTGTTATTTCCGATATTATTTTGTAATAAATTTGAGAAACAATTTTTTTTAGGTTTTTTTTTTTTATTAAAGTACATATATAATAATATATAATATATATAATATAATATATATATATATATATATATATATATATATATATATATATATATATATATATATATACATATTTTTTAAATTATTCATAAAAAGACATTTCTTTTTATGAATAATTTAAAAGTTTCCAATTCAGAAGTATAGTTCTCCATGCTTTTTTTAATATATATATGTAATATAAGGATTTTTTCACACATTTTCACACATGAATATTATTTTTTATATACCTGAGATTTTATTACAAGTTTTTACTTACAGCATTATAAAGTGGGTTTTGTTTTGTTGATGTTGTTGTTGCTAACCAATTAGTGATTTAATTACAATAGTTTATCAGTATGTCTTATTTATAACTTACTAATTACTTTTTTCACAATTTACTTGATTTAAAGTTATGTATATATATGTATGTATATATATATATATATATATATATATATATATATATATATATATATATATATATATATATATATATATATATATGTATGTATATATATATATGTATGTATATATATGTATGTATATATATATATATATATATATATATATATATATATATATATATATATATATATATATATATATGTATGTATATATATATATATATATATATATATATATATATATATATATATATATATATATATATATATATATATATATATATATATATATATATATATATATATATGTATGTATATATATATATATATATATATATATATATATATATATATATATATATATATATATATATATATATATATATATATATATATATATATATATATATATATATATATATATATATATATATATATATATATATATATATATATATATATATATATATATATATAGGTATGCGGAAATAGCCGTTTTACGGAACCGAATTTTGTGCTAAAATTCTGTGCCACGTTTTTGGAACTTTTATTGAGGTAGCGTCAGACAAACGTTTTGTAGTGGTGTTTCTTTTTTAGAAAAGTATATCAGCATAGATTATTTTTGAAAAGAAGAGACTTGGATCTATATTTTTATGTATCAATTATGTATGGATGATTTACTTTTTGTTGACTTGATAGATTTTGAAAATTTACTTGATGTTGTCACGTGAAATTTGTATTAATTGAATACTGAGACATTTTGCAAAACTACTGAGACATTTTCTTTTATATATTTTTTATTCACCTGCCAAATTTCAAGAAAAAATATTATGTAGCAGATAATTTAAAAAGTGTAGCAGTTTTGGTATCTAAATTTTGTTTTCACAAATTCGCGATGGGTCACGGCGATCTATACTGCAGGCCTTGCCAACGCGCAAAAAACTTATTTCACTAGGGGCCTATTTTAAACTGTACTTAACTATAATCGCCATTTTAGTGATATTGAAATATGGGTAAAAAGTGTTGTATTTATGGCTGTACCACAAATTATTTATCAGCTAAAAAGAAATCTGATAATTTAAAGATCTCAGTATATCGATTTCCTAAAATGAAGATGAAAAACAAATATGGATTAAAGTAATTCCAAATGCAAATCTAAAGGTAACTAATGACACTGTAGTTTGTGAGTTGCATTGGCCAATAAATTTTGAAAAACAACAAGTTAGAGGAAAATTTTGCTGAAATGAAAGAAATTCTTTTATGTAATGAAAGAGATTTGGGTGTTCCATCAGTATGTTTTATGATTAATAGCATTATTCATTTGCAATCACAAGCTTATTCAAATGGGGTTCCATATTTTTTAATCAAGATTAGAGACGATTTACATTTTGAAACTTATCACTATGGGGTCAAAATTAAAATTCCTACAATTTCTAAAAACAGAGTTTCAAAAATTAATGCATGGTCAATATTAGAAGAAGTCCTATGTTATTTAAAGAGTTTGATTTCTGGAAGAAAAGAATTGTAATTCAAGAACATTTAGCTTCTATGGGTACACAGTGTGTTGGAAATAAGATTTATTCTAAAGAAATTATTATTAGATCTTTTCAGTATTTTGCTTCATCCAGAAGTTAGTATAATCAATTGCGAACAGATTACCAATTGCCTTCTGTAAGAACTTTGACAAGAATAACTTCAAAAGTTTCTAAATTAAACGAAAAACTTTTTTTCACTAATATTTTTCAATCTATTGAAGAAAAACAGAAAATTTGTTTGTTATTGCATGACGAGGTTTATGTTAAAAAAATGTTGTTATATCATGGTGGTACATTGTTCGGAAAAGCAATGGATGATTCAACTTCTCTTGCAAAAACTGTATTGGGTTTAATGGTTAATTGTTTATTCGGTGGACCATCGTTCATTTCCAAAATGATAACTATAAATAAATTAAACTCTCAATTTCTTTTCGAACAAATTAGCATTACTATCCAATCAATAAAGGAATCATCGGGTCAAGTCAAAGCCATAATATGTGATAGAAATAGAATTAATCAGGCTTTTTTTAAAATCTTTAAGTTCACAGTTCCAAGTAAACCTTGGTTAACTAATGATGGTGTTTTCTTAATCTTTGATTATGTACATTTGCTTAAAAACATTAGAAATAATTGGCTTACTGAAAAAACTGGTCAACTTATATTTTATGATAAAGGGGTACAAAAAGTAGCACAATGGGATCACCTGAAAAAACTTTATGAACTTAAATCTAAAAACTTAGTTAAATTGTCTAATTTAAACGAAGTTTCAATATTTCCGAAGCCAATCGAGAGGCAGTCAGTGTCTACCTGTTTAAGGATATTTTGTGACAAAACTTACCATGCTTTGATTAATCATCCTGGACTGCAGCATATAAAAGAAAGACAAGACACAGCAGATTTTATTAACATTGTCGTATCATGGTGGAAAGTTCTTAATGTTAAAGGAACAGGTGCAGATGTTAGGTTTAATGATGAACTTCAAGCAGTTATTAGAGGTCCTAATGATAATAGATTAGAAAATATTTTAGATTTCGGAAATA